CCCCCATCACCGTACATCGATTTTACTTTACTCCTCATCCGTCGCCATGTATCTATCTTGCTATTCCCCAAGTCCCCCAGCCCACCAATCAATATTGTACTTACAATGAAGTCAGTCTTATGTACTGCTTTTGGAGTGCCGTCTAAATTATCACAAAAAATGAAGATTAATATAAACAAAACTAATGGCAAAAAATGACTGTGATGATTATTGGATAATTTAATATAAATCTGACAATCCAGCTATTATTGTATAATTAGATAATTACCTGAAGCTCTTTATGAGCGGCGGTATCCAAGAGCTGCCACAAATAATTCATTAAAACTATTATTAGTCCAAAAATGAAATCTTTTATCATATATCAGAGTGCATGAAATCTTTTTATCATATTGCAGAAGTTCATCTTACTTCATCATACAACGGATGTTATATTAGAAAAGTCTTGTAACTGAGGAGGTTTTACAATAAAACGAAACTAGTTTTACAGACAATACAAGCTGATCGTGCGTCAAGACCGAAAAACTCAAGCCTTAACATACTTGAGGAAATCAAGATGAAATTCATCTTACCAATATAATCTATATTAAACAGGGCTCCTGACATCAGAAGTCCCGATAATATATTTCTAAACAACCAATCACAATTCGCGCACATATAAAACGGCACCTGATTGGTTCTTGTTGATTCTACTTCAAGAAACAAGAAAMGAAAATTTGGACGATGGAGGCGAAAACGAAGAGAAGTTTGCATGACGAGAATTTAACACCTTTTGCGAAACAACCATTTCTGAATTTAATAAAAAACATATTGAAAGCAGTTCGAGAGTATTAAATAAAATTGTAGTGRAGGTAATTCAGGATTTTTAAAATAGTTTTATTAAAAGAGTAAAAAATGTTTACAAATGAAAACTAAGACGAAAACTAAGACGGCCGAATAAGACGAGTGCAAGAATGTCGCAAAAAGGCAATCAAAACTCTTGTACTGTAAAGCTTAAATCACTCTACATTGTGTAAGGAGTTGGGAATGATTATTCTGTTAAAGAAAAGCGAGGAATAAACAAACAAGCGAATAGGTACAAAAGGTAAAAACGAACGGGCGACATGTCGAATTTTCAGTTTGTACACGGACAAGGAATATCGAATCAAAGCAAACTCGCCTAACTGAAAATTTACAAACTTCCCATCTCTATATAAAAGGTTAACATTCGAAAATTACGTAACCTTTGACTTTGTTGTAATTAAGTCCAACTCTCTTTGATTGTAAGCTTTACTAAACTTACTTGAGCTCAAGTCTACATCATAACAAAACTACCATTTCTTTCGATCGTTCTTCATCTCTTTCTGGACTTTTTCCCTGTTTTCGCGGACCATATTACTCTTGAACTACTTTCGCTACATTGTTAATATAGTAAAGTATGCCTTCTTTCAAATTCAGAAATAGTTGTCCCGCAAAAGGTGTAAAATTCTCGTCATGTAAACTTCACTCCATCGTCTAAATTTTCTTTTCTTTGTCTCTTGAAGTAGAATCAACAAGGACCAATCATGTGCCGTGTTATATGTGCGTGCGTGTGATTGGTTGTCTAAAAAATACATTATCGGGAGATCTGATAGATTATAATATTAGCGAGATAGTTGCACATTTCTTGTTATGTAAAAGCAATACTGTTACTTTAGCTATAAGTTAA